ATAAACGACCCTTTGAGCTAAAAAGTACCTTTTTCAATTTACGTATTCGATTACTAACGATTGATAGACTTAAATGCATTTGACGAACGTTTGATATGAAAAATAAACCTTTGAGCTAGAGGATTTAAAAAAATCTTAACCAAGAAAGTAAACTACAAAACTATAGTTACATTTCAATGTAATTTCACGAACTTTTGACATAAAAAATAAACTTTTCGTTAGATCTTTTTATTCAATTACAAACTATAGACAACCATAAACATATTTTAACGAACATTTGATATGAGAAATAAACCTTTGAGATAGAAAATGAATAATTTCCTTTCAATACATTAAATTGATTACAAACTATAGTTAGATTTCTAAGTGTCCCCAGGAACTTTTGACATGGCAAATAAACCATTGATAAAGAAAATAAAAAAATTTCTTATCAATGTATTAAATCGATTACAAACTATAGTTAAATTTCAATATATTTTTACGATTCCTTGAGATAAAAACAAAACATATGACATAGAAAATCTAAATAGCTTTTCTATTGTGATCATTAGAATTATCTAACATAATCATATAATTTACCACAGAAAATCTCTCCTAAAAATTCCTAAAAATAAAAAAATGTATATGTAAACAATTGTTTACAATGGCAGTAAAGCACACGGCACTAAATCGTGTAATTCATAATAGGTGCTGTCAATGAAGAGTGGTCAAACATGCACCAAACCTAATACTTTTCGTTTTGAAATACGTCGAACAAGATTATATTTCCAAACTAAAACCAAAACTCTAAAACTAGTTTTGATTTTGGTGGATGCCTAAAAATGATAGCTATCAAAATCTGCCTTTATACAAAAATAGGTTTGAGTACAACGGAATCTGCTCTAGTTTAAATGCCACATTGCACTAGGAGCAAAGTATGTATGTTATGTTTCGCCTTTGAAAACTGTTAATTAGCGATAAAAAGTCCTCTATTGATTCAGTTAAGTAAAAACGAAAGAAATCTATGTAGTTTTATTGAATACGTATATGATATCCATGATATTGTTTTTGTTTTAAACGGTAAAATGCGATCTTCTTTTATAGATTGAATCAAATAAGGTTTGGTTTAACAGATTGATTTTATCAAATGAGTATTTCTGTGATAATGCACTTGTATTCGAAAGTTGTATTGAAAATATTAGGCTATAAATACAGCTATATGCTTCTGTTTCCTTAAACTCGGAAATACTTTCTGTTGCGCACACAATAGATTATTATCTTGATACTCTCGTTAGGATTTTTATCATCACTATCGTAAATAACTAAATAAATTAGAAGAATATTCTGTTTTTAAGTTACTTTCAATTGATTTTTTAATAAAAACTGCACAAAATGTTCTTTGATGCAGAGTTTAGTTTAATTATATTTATTATTCTTTATAATGCACAATGCATCGAAGTAAAACTTATTTTATGAAGTTAAGAAAAACGGAAAAAAACCCATCGTAACTATTTAAAAAATTGAAATCAAACAATTTTTAAATATTTTAATTCAAATATCGATCAATATTCTATTCTAAAAAAACAAATTAAGTAAGTTTATAAAAATCTTGCTATGAGATCATGCATTCCATTTCCGATGAACGACTGAAAAAGATTACAGTGTGGCAGTTACGAAAACATACACAGACAAGATTTTTTATTTTATGTGTTGTGATATATCGTTCTCATTTTCTATACATGTACCTGTTATAGTGTCCTTAAACTAATGGGGAAAATGTTAATTAATATTATTATACTGCGTATATGTACATGTATATACTTCGAAGACATATATTTGTTTTTCTTAATGTTTTCAGTAACCAAGATTTGGAGTTTTTTTTCCACTGATGTTTCATTGATAAAAAGAATGTCTTATCTTGATTCCATTAAAATAAATATCCTGACTATATTCATTTTACAAAACAAGATAAGTCGACAGCTCTATTCGAAAACTTATCGAAGGCACTGTAAAACGATTAATTCATGTGATTCACGAAGATAGGAGCAATATCCAGCAATGTATAGCTCAGCGCAAGTCATGTTCGGCTTGTAATCAACTGTTCATGAGTTCAAATCTTGGTTCACGCTATCGTTGGAAAAATTGCCACTCTGTTGCTCATGGTATTTGGGTGTCATATCATAGCTTACTATGATGTCTCGGTTCAATTTCGACACAGAGTGGCGATAATTTTTAATTTTTTGGGGAAAAAATATACGCGTTCTAACGCACCTTGCCTCCAAACGAGTTTAGACGCGTTTGCTTTTGGATGCGTCCCCACATTTGAAAACGTTGCACTTTGGACGGGTCCTAGCACCCCGTTAAATTCAAACGAGTTATGATACGCTGAGATACTAAACGAGTATAGATGCGTCCTGATGCGTGAAGTGCCATCGTTCACAAACGCTCAGAGACGCGTTACGAATCGAGAAAAAGATCAGTTTCCCGAAACTGATCTTAAGTATCTAGCATTATCCAAAACCTAGTGTTTCTTTTGGGTGAAGGCGACAGTAGCTATGACTTATAAAATCTGTTAAGGGATGCCGGCGATGCTGACTTGGAATGGTTCTAAAATCT